TGCTTGTTCAATATTTATGTCAATTTGCATCTCAAACCTCATTAACACTTATGAATCCCATTGAGTAATAAATTGGTACAAAAACCTCAGCCGTCACTACAATAGCGATAACACATGAGACCGCTTGAAGCCACACCTGAGTGCCCACTTGGTATACCTCAGCCGGTACACCCAGTAGTGTATTAGTGGACATAAACGTTGCCACCATAGACATTATGACCGGGATAAGGCTGAGTTGCCGGTTACCGGTCAGGTACTCGGCATTTGTGCCGGTATTTCGTGATTTGTACCAAAAATATATTCCGATTAGTGATGAGGCGCTCAATAGGAAAATAAATACTAAATAGTCTACAATTGAGAAGTTTGTGTCCAGCATATTTTACAAACTTTTTTGTTTTTATTAAAATCACATAAGAAATATATATTCAATAGGTTTTAAATATTTTAAAATACAATATTATAAAATAGTTTGCTCTGTTTAATCATTTAAACAAATTGGTTGATCAAAAAATATGTTTTGGATATTGTCAATGATAAATGTATTATTTATTTAATCATAATCTATTCGCGTAGTTTATAAACATTATTATCAATCAAGGTTAATCAATAAATACAAAATTGATATTTTTGCTGTCCCAATCTATATACTATTTATGTAATGTTAATTTTGTTATAAGTTATATAAATATTGTTACTAACCCTGAAATAAGTCAAATCAAACTTTATTTGCAATATCTCTCAAAGAAATCCGTTATAAAAATATACATCAAATGATAAAATATTTTTTGAAATAACAATTAAAAGTTTGCGTTTTATTCAAAATCTATATTAAATAAATATATAGATTTTATAAATTTTTTAGAAAATTGCTATACATTGTATACATCAAATATGTAACTGTATTGTGAAGCATACCGATAAATTTAATGTCTACAAGCTGTAAACTTTGAATAAAAAATAATATCATATGTATAAATAATAATAATAAATAAGTTTATAATAAGTGGTCCGACACTCATAGACATGGTTGAATTAATTGTTTGTATACCCAGCGTAGACTAATCAAATGATTAAGTATCAAGCTTAATCAGTGTATGGTCGATATTACCAGCGGTTCAAACTAGAAATAAAATAATCTATGAAACTATACTTGACCAGGTTGTTCAAGTTGACCACTATTTTTTAAAAGTATTTGGGTATTACGCTATGTATTTTAATATAATATTATATCAATTATAATTCATTTGATGTAATGTTGCATAATTTATTTGTTTTCATCATTAATTAATAATAATTCTCTACAGTTTAGCAATATTAAAGCATAAAATGTGTACTAGTTTAGAAATTTATTAAATATGATAATATAATATATAATTGTAATTTTCATTATTATTTTCTAACAATTTTTAACAACATTATAATAATTATAAAATTAAATTAATATTATAGATTTAATTATGTCAACAGTTACTTAAGTTATAATTGCAATTTAATTAAAAATGATGTATCAACTGGACTGATGTGTATGTCGGAGGTTGACTACAATCCCTATACGCCGGGGTTTATCGGCAACAATGGCCGATATATTATATATTAGCGACAGGTATAACATTTAAATTTCTACCCTGATTACCGGCTCCAATATGTTGATTAACTAAATTTGTATGCCGTTGAACAGCAACCCTGGTAATTATACGTGCTAAATATCCCTGGGTAGTACATGTGATAGGCCGTCTGGAGTTAGGAGGTGGCGGTACCGCACACTTATAGCAGCAATAAAAACACGATCCTATAAATGCTATGACCAGTACTATAATAACAATAATCCACCAATAATTTGTACCACCATCATTTGAGTCATCGTAGCTACTTGACGGGTACCGATACCCACAGTCTTTACACCCGGCACTATCATCAAATGTATCCACTGAATAATAACATTGACAAACTGGTAGTATAATTAATAGGAATAAATTCATTGCAGAATTAACGTTTACAAATACGTTTACAAACAGTACTTGTTTGTCAAATATTTAAAAAACTTTATTTCAAAAATAATATAGTATTCTACTAATAAATTTGACATAACATGAAATCTGTTAATAGTTAATAAAATGATAAACTTATTCTATTATCGTGTATTGTAGTTTATAGCAGTATACTAATTTATATGACTAACATTTCACTAACTATTCCTTATGATTGTAACATGTACTAGTATTAAAATTGATAAATCTTTTATAATTATAACTAGCTTAAGTTGAGTACAAATGGTTTGAATTCATTTCTAATACTAATATCCTTTAAGTTATCAAACTTTTGTAAGTATATTTGATGAAAATATAGCCAAGTATACATTCATTAAAAATACATGCTGACCAGTGTATTTAATTTTTAAAAATATTTACGCAAAATTTTATATAAAATGACTATTTATATCATTCAGATATGATGTTTACATGAATTTATGTAACTAATTGTTAATTTAGAAAATAAAATGTTATATTATATTAGTTTATTAAGTGTGATAGCAGGCATTTCAAATAAATCTTATTTTGATTGTCATTTATGTGATATTACGGTAATTAATAAAAGTACAAAATTATTAGATATCTGATTATGTCATTAATTTATGATTATATTATGATTATGATTATATCATTTGTGATCACAAATCTTATTTGAATATATTTTATAATATTAAATAGTACATTTTGTAATTCTTGTGCATAATTAAATGCATACAAAACTGTAAATATTATTTTGCAAAACATTTGAAACGGTATAATAAATGTAAGTTTACGATAAATAAGTGGTCGACAATCACTTACCTTGGATTAAATATTCGCAACCAGGACCCGGCTGATCACGGGGATAACCGCAGCTGTTACCTACGCGACAAATAAACGGTTTATGAGACCATTTGACCACAATTTTTACGCACAATTAATAACGACATTATGTTTTGAGATATTTTATTGGAGATAAATAAGTCGGCGGTTGAGTAATGCAGTCATTATAAGCGGGTGGCCTATCATTAACTATAGCTATGAGATCCATTTCCCTCGTTTTTGGTTTGTATAATAATTTGTAATTTAAATATAATTAGGAGTTACTTAGATATATAGCAAAATATAAAACTTTGTACCCTGTACTATTTACTGGGTGTTCCAATTGATTTGTTGTTCAATTTATTATCAGTTTATCACATAATTAATGATTTATTTTCCAAAAACAATTTAAATCTCTTAATTAGTTGGTGAGAGGTATTACAGGTGTTGATGTAAATACGGCTATAGTCAAGGAAATAGTTTATTTTCATCTATACCTTAAACTTTAAACTAAGCTATCACAAAATGATCTTGATACTTAGCCACATTTCCTACTTGCCGTTATATATAAATAGACAAAACAATAACACATATTTAAACACTTATAAGACTACACCAACTTGCTCAATAATTACAATAAAAATTAATAAAATGAAAGTTTATATCGTATTAAGTATGCTGTTTGTAGGCCTCAACACAATGCCAACTACCGATCCTGCCGGTGCTGTCAAGGATGTGGACCCTAACAAACCGGAGGTTCAGGAGGCCATCAAATTTGTGTTTAATATAATCCACGCCTCCATAGACTCGGCTCATGCCATCACAATGGGAAAGGTATTAAAAACTCAGTCTCAGATGGTTTCCGGTAAAAAGTATTACATAACCCTCGAAGTCAATGAAACGGATTGTGACAAAAGTGACATTAACTCAGAGCCATGTAAAGTCATTGTAAGTAGTTTTATATATTTATATATACTGGTCATATTTAATAAATTAATATGAAGTTAATATTTTTATATAATAATTAATATTATGCATTGAATTTGTATAGAGAAGCGAAGTGTGCGCTTCAGTTGTATTGAATCGTCGGTGGGATGCCTACCATAGGAACCAAGTTTTGTCATTCAATTGCAAAGGCATCTAAAATACATATAAACCCCATTTTTGGAAATTATTTAAAATTTTTGTAAATCTAAAATAATATTTAAATCTGTTGGTAAATAAAATCAAGGTTTTATTTTAATTAAGAGTACTTTGTATTTAAAATATTCAATATTATTACACGAGTATTATTGTTTATTTAAAAAATATCTAAACAAGTATAGTTATATAAATTAAAAAGTAAAATACAGTATTTATAAAATAATTTATAAAAACAATTAACTATTTATTGATAAATAAGTCGGCGGTTGAGTAATGCAGTCGTTATAAGCGGGTGGCCTATCAAGTATAGTTATATAAATTAAAAAGTAAAATACAGTATTTATAAAATAATTTATAAAAACAATTAACTATTTATTGATAAATAAGTCGGCGGTTGAGTAATGCAGTCGTTATAAGCGGGTGGCCTATCATTAACTATAGCCACGTGTTGAGATCCATTTCCCTCATTTCTATTCGTATAATAATTCGTAGGTCTGTCCCACGTATTGCTACTTATGGTAAGTCTAACATTTAGCGTATTATTCGACACCGGTATGTTTGGAGCCGTAGGTCTAACCCATAGATTATGATTAGAGCTGAGGTATTGTTCCCTTAACTGGCGATCTTTACGGCGCTTGCAAATGGCAAATATGATGAAACATTTAACCAAAACGACCCCGATTATAATAACCGCGTACCATATATTAAATCCAGTTTTACTATATTTCCGATGTTCAGCTTCATTGAGACTACAGTGACTACACTTAATAGCCTTTCCCTTATACATACTGTCCACACAATAACAGCCATCACTTCGCTTATGACAGTACTGCCGGTGCCGACACTTCCCACACTCTGGTGTCTCTCCGCATCCTTTCAATACACACGTGTTTTTAGTGGCTATCCATTTGTAATCGGCTGAACACTGACACATACCGGTGCGACACTCCATAGCGCCAAGCGAGTTGTTTGGGTCGTAACAGACGGCATCCCACTTACAGGGCTGGGAGTACATGAATTTGGTGCATATGTTGTGGTTTGCGGGGTCGGGAC